CCCCCTGAGGAGGAAGGAGCGGCAGAAACAACGTGCGATGAACTGACCACAACCCCGTCTCTGCGCACCCCTCGGGAGGAGGAGGGAGAGAGAACTGGGAACAAAGTTAAGCCCAGGAAAGAAGGGAGGGATGAGGGGAAGGTGTTTTAAGATTTGGCTTTATTTCTCCTTACTCCTCTCTCAGTTAATTGGTAATAAATCACATTTTTCCCAAGTCGAGTCTGTTTTGCCCATGACAGTAAATGTTGAGTGATCTCCCTGTCCTTATCTCGACCCCACAAGCCTGTTATATTTTTCTCTCCTCTGCTCAGTTGAGGAGGGAGAGAGTGATAGAACGGCTTTGGTGGGCACCTGCCATCCAGCTGGGGTCAAACCACCACAGGGGCCCAGGGAAATACACAGTCTCATAATATCATAGCTCTGAAATGACTTTTCTATAACCAGCAGTCTCAGCTAAGTGGAGAGATTTAGACTTCTGAGTCACTGGCAAAATCACATACAAAACAACACTACTTGCATCATTACAGTAACATTTATACCTTGACTAGAAGCATCAGGCTGATATTCAGAATCTTCTTCTGGTGGGCTCTGCAAAAAGTACATTTGCTCAGGCATTATGCTGGCAATCTTCTCTTTACCTATGAGGTGAGTATTTATAAGTGGACTAATACTTCTTTTTACCTTCTCCCGCCTTTCATGTGCCATTATCTTTTTTGTCCGTGCCTTGATATTTTCCCAGCATTTCTTTAACTGTTTGAAGTCTCGCAGGGATACACTGGGCTGTGAATTATATTCATGAGCTAGTGCTTGCCAGGTCCGTTGTTTCAGAGCAATAGTTCTTGCATCACTTTTTTTACATTCAAGCACGTATTTGTATTTTTCAACTAACGCAAGCAGCACACTCTTCTCCACTTCCGAGAAGTATTTAGCAGGTTTTATTATTTCGTTTTGCATTTTCTACTGTTTCTTCAAGAAGCCAAAAATCCTATGAAAACAATGTTGAAAGCAAAAAAACAACAAACAAACACAAATTAGAACTGGTTACAGCATCAGGAAACTTGTGTTTCACCAAATAACGCCTAAGTAGCTTCTGATTCCAACCCACTTTATTTTCTAGGATAGTTTGTGAGTAGTTCTAGAATACATAGGGAAACACTCAGGTGAGATGTAGCATAACTGTGTGCCATTTTCTATCGCCACTTTTGTGGCTACACAGTTCCAGAAGTACACTGTAATTAGAAAAGTCTTGCCTTTGTTACAGTTTGTCTTGATACAAAATACTCACTATTCAATTTACTTAGTAACTTGGTTTTAATAACTAGTTTTCTTATTCATTGCACTATTCATTCAATCCAGCCCTCGCCACCTTCAGGTTTAAGTCTAAAGCCACCTTCAGCAGGTTTGGGTTTCCTGTGGTACAACAAAACACCCTCTTCTACCCTTGCAGACTGCGTATGACTGACTTCTCCCCTCTCTCTACAATATTTGAAAGTTGTCCGAGAAATTATAGTAAGAAGTTCTCTTTTTAAAGCCTTCTGTGGGTTTGGCTCAGCCCTCCTCGACTGCCACCCAACAGGCAGCAGGATTACAATACTGAGAAGAGGCAAGGGTTACAAGAAGGCAGGAATTAATTACTAATTACGGAAACTAACCGCTCTGAAGGCACAGGTCCTTTGCCCTCTACTGCTGACTCGGCGTGTGTGTCACTTCCTCACGCTTGTGCTGCTGGTTACTCCCAGGAGCAAACGACCAGGCTGAAAAGTCTTGGCCTCACTCAAAGCAGTCACTGCTACCCACTCACACCACGTGAGCGACTGCCTCTCTTCTCCAGCCTTATGTATCACGGACTCAGTCAATAGGGTAGCTGAAACCATGGAATCCTTAGCCACAAAACAATGAATAAAGTAGTGAATTCCTTGAATTATTAATACCTGACTGTGCTGCAAAATGTAGGTTATTCTTTTATTCTTCCACACTACTTTGCCCATTCCTTCCCACTACTAATGGTGTAGCCCCAGCTACTTTTACATTTTGGGCAGAAACTTCTGGATAATTAAGCAGAAAAAGGGGGAGCAATGCTGTCTTAGCTCACATTTTTTCTGGCTTTAATCATAAAATTCAGAGATAGAACATAGTTAATAAGATAACTGGTTCATATTCCTAGCAGTCTAGGACTCTCCCAAAATGAATTTTCTAGTGTTTTGCCCACTATTTCCACTACTTCCCTCATAACATTACTTGAAGATGCAACAGATATCACCATCAGATTTCCCCTTTCCAATATTTTTTCCTTAACTCCACCACACTAACACTCTCTTTGTACCAACCTTGTAACTCCTTTCCTCCAACCGTCTTAATACTTACAGATATTCTCACCTCTTTCAGCGGAAAGAACTACCCACATTAACAAAGAAAGCTAACAGACAAGCTAAAAAATGAGAACCCAACTCTGACATAAGAACAGGAGCTTCCTCAAGTAGCCCATAAAACACGACAAAACCCAGCAAAACAAAGAAGAGGCGTCAAAGCACTGAGGAAGCAGCAGAACAAAGCCTAGAATGGCAAAACTGAGACAAAGTCAATCGGGGTCAGTAACAGTCTGGGTTAAGCATGTTGGCAGCAGAGCAGTTAAGTCATACCCCTCCTGAAAAAGGGGCAACAAACGCCCGGTTTGCACTTTCTGTCACCGCTCCACTGGGTAACCACTGGGCATGGCCTGACCGGACAGCCAACACTACGTGGACCCTGGCTGGTCACCGTTCTGCTGCTCTCTGCATGGAGCTTTTGCAGCAG